ATTTGGCCACGGCTAATCACATGACACAGCTGGGCTGTGATTGGCCCAGCTTGTGCATGTGAACGCTGTGACCATTCACAGCTAGGCACTCTAGTATACAATGGATGGCATGAATGAAGCCATCCATTGTATACAACTGTAATGTGACCTGCTGTGATTGGTCACAGTAGGTCACATGGTACCGGCAACGGGGCCAGTACTAAGATCTGTCATCGGCCGTGTCCGAGATACACGGCCAGTGACAGATCGCGCTGCTGCGCGGCTCTGCAGGCGCACAAACTGCGCATGCCCGGGAGGATGCCGTATGGCATCCACCCGGAGCGCTGAAGGATTTTGCCGGCCATAGGCCAGGAGGGAAATGGTTAAAGAAGGTATTCAATTCCAGAGCAGGCAGTTTACAAGTAAGCTGTACACCGATTCACCAACTGTACTGCAATAAATCACACATAGGCCTCTTTTACACAGGCGTTCCATATGTCCATTTTTCAACTGTCCGTTTACGGATGAAAAACGGACACCCATGTATTTCTATGGACTTGTGGATGTAAAAGGATGCACATCTTTTTGCATCTGTTAACGTCGGCTTTTTTGAACGGAAGAAAACCCTATTTTTCTTCCGAAAAAAAACCCGGAACGGACGAAAAACAGATGTCAACGGATATCAACGGATTGTATGCCACCTGCAGGTCAGGAAAGGGGAAGGGATGAGCAAGCGCTCCCCCCTCCCTCCTGAACCATACCAGGCCACATGCCCTCAACGGGGGGGGGGGCGTTCGCTCGCCCCCCCCCCTTTCCTGACCTGCCGGGCTACATGCTCGGATAAGGACCTGGTATGGATTTTAAAGGGGGGACCCCACACCATTTTTTTATAATTTTGGCGTGGGGGTTCCCCTAAAAATCCAAACCAGATCCAAAGGGTTTGGCATGGATGGAGGGGGGGACCCCACGCCATTTTTAAAATTATTTATTAATTGCTGGCAAATTTTTTTTTTACATTCATCTGTCAGTGGGGAACTCTGCTGACAGCTGATGACTAAAAACGGATGTAAACGGATGAAAAAAACGCATGTAAACTCATCCGTTTTTTCTTTGAAAAAACGTGACTGAACTGAAGAAAAAAACAGAACGCCCGTGTGAAAGGACCCATAAGTACATGTGTAACATTGTTCTTGCAAAGTGCCATGCAGATGTGGGGATATAACTATAACATATTGAGGAAGTATACTGCATTCCAAGTCCAGACAGCATCTTTAAAGCGGCGTTCCACTCAAAAGCTGAAGCTCCACTTGTTTGCCTCCCCCCCCCTCCACTGCCATATTTGGCACTTTTTGGGGGGAGCAGATACCTGGTTTTGACAGGTACCCACTCCCACTTCTAGCTCAGTTCGCCACGGCGAAGTGAGCCGGAAGTTCGGCCCCTTCCTTCCTCCCGCAGTCTCTTGAGGACCTTCACAGGTCCCAAAAGACTGCTGGACCAATCAGAATGTGCAGCGCAACTCACGCATACGCAGTGGGCACCCAGCTGTGAAGCCACAAGCTGTCACAGCCTGTTGCCCACAGTTGCGATGACGGCACCAAGGAGAGAAGAGGCAGGGAAGGGACAGCGCAGGTGAGCACATCGCTGGACCCTGGGACAGGTGAGTGTCTGTTTATTAAAAGTCAGCAGCTACAGTTTTTGTAGCTCCTGACTTTTAATAAACACAAAACTGACTGGAACTATGCTTTAAACAATCCTGCCAGTAACTAGCGGACTAAGACCTGGGGTATCAAGCCATGGAGCTCTTAGTTTCTCAAATTTCTCCAGGCAACCACTATGTTGCTAAATGAATGGTTCCAGTCTAACTGTATCCCCTATATGCTTTAGCCACTCTGCATGTGTGGGCGGGTCTACAGACATCCAGTGTATAAGGAAAAGCATGCGAGCTTGAAATAGAGCCCTTACAATAGCCTCTGAGAGAAGAAATCTCCAGTTCTATTTCTGTCAATAGACGCTGAAAAAGCGTTTGACAGGGTAGATTGGGGATTTATGAGGAGTACCTTAGAGGCGATAGGATTAGGACCTAAAATGATACAGTGGATAAACTATATAGTCATCCCTTCTGCATCGGTGAAGGTCAATGGCCTATTGTCACAACCTTTTGAAATGTATAATGGAACAAGGAAGTCCACTTTCACCTCTTCTGTTTATACTATCACTGGAGCCCCTTATTAGCAACTATGCAACAGAGTGCAGATATAAAAGGAATTCAAATTGGAGAAGTGGAACATAAGGTGGCAGCTTATGCAGATGATATGTTGTTTTATGTAGCAAACCCTAAAGTAACACTCTTATGAGAATGTTAAAAGTATACAGAGAATTATCAAATTTTAAAATTAATCTTTCAAAATCTGAGATTTTAGATATTCATACATCGAATGCAGAAAGACAGACATTTAAAGAAAAATTTCTCTTTATCTGGAAGGATAAAGAACTAAATTACTTGGGAGTAAAGTTGACCCCATCACTTAGGAGTATATATATCAGACAAATTACATACCACTATTAAATTAGATAAAGGAGGAGTTGAGAAAAATCTCCAAAAGTCCACTTTCCTGGATAAGACGAATAAACATGGTGAAGATGGTGATAGTGCCTAAAACCTTATATATGTATATATATATTATATATAATATCTTATATTTATATAAATTCCAAATGCTCCCATTATATCTACCGCTAACGTATTTTAGGGTTCTAAAAGAAATGATAATGAGATATATATGGGCAAATAAAAAACCAAGGGTGAAATATGAGGTATGTAAAGATGAAATAAATGGGGGTTTAAATGTGCCAGAGTTTAAAAGATATAATTTTTCTTAACACAAATAATGGATTGGGTATATAATGCACGGGGGAAAAGCTGGGTACTGATCAGGTAAGGACTGACAACTCATGGGGCCCCCGGGCAATAGGGGATTATGGGGCTCCTGTGTCCTTGCCCAAACTCAAAAAAGCCTATGAAAAATGTACCAGGGGCATCTCATGGGGGGCCCTCTACTGACCCCAGGCCCTCGGGCAGTGCCCGAGTTTCCAAATGGTCAGTCCGCCCCTGGTACGGATTGAACAAACAATGGGTGCAACACAATTAGATAAAATTATTTTGGTTCCACAACAGTACCGGACTTTGTCTGAAAACACTAGTATTCTAACAAGAAATGTATTTCGTATTTGGGATTTAATCCATAAACAAAATGGATGGGGGTTTAATTCACCACTAATACCACTGGAGGGAACACATTTTTTCCCACTGGGCAAGAGCACTATAGCAGGAGTTTGGATTAAAGATAGGAATGCACGGTTAAAGGGTATTATGAAAGATAGGGAAATAGGTACTCTTCAAGAATTGAAACAAAAAAAGGACAACGTGTTATGAGGTAGATGATTCGCGGAGGTACCGTCAATTAAAGCATTTTGCAACATCACTTTCACAGCCATTGAGAGGGGTTGAAAATATGTACCCATTTGAGCAATTGTTAAACTCAGATGGAATGCAAAAACACAGCACTTCACTCATTTATAAGACACTGACCATGATATCTGAGCCAGTACTTCCAGCGTATATGGGTAAATGAGAAAGAGAGTTGAGAATGCAGTTAAGTGAACAACTGAGAAGGAAATTATTTAGAATTGCACATGAGGCAATTGATATAAACACAGTGGAGATGAATTATAATTTTTTATCAAGATGGTATGTTACCCCCAGTAGAGCTCATAATCAACAGCCGGAAAGTTCCTTGTATTATTGTCGGGGATGTAGGATGGAGGGTACAATAGTACACGTATCGTGGGATTGTCCCAAAATACAGGAATTTGGGCAGGAGATAATACAACAGATAGTTGAGATCATGAGAGAGGGAATATTAAAAGATCCATGGGTGTGCTTATTCCATAATACTGATTTAACAGTGAAACAATATAAGAGCATGATGATATCTCACTTAATTAATGCAGCAAAAAGGTTGATCCCTAATTTTGGAAGGCCCAAGAGACCCCTAAACTAAAGGATTGGATAAAGAGGGTAAATATATATACAGGAAAGAAGAGCTATACCACAGCGGAGAAGAAAAAATGGGTAAATTCACAAAAATATGGGAAAGATGGTGTGAGTTTAAAACTACCCAGACATTTGCAGAATTAATGGTGTAGAAGAATAGGGAGGAATGAGGTGTGGAAAAATATGTTGATATAAAGATAAGAACATTCAATGGTGCAGGGGTGGACTGACCATTTGGAAACTCGGGCACTGCCCGAGGGCCCTGGGTCAGCAGGGGGCCCCATGAGATGCCCCTGGTACCTTTTTCATAGGCTCTTTTGAGTTTGGGCAAGGACACAGGGGCCCCATGATCCCCTATTGCCCGGGGACCCCATGAGTTGTCAGTCCGCCCCTGCAATGGTGTTAATGTGGGTTACTAGGAGAGAGGGAAAACTACCAGTCAAAGAAATATGGGATGGGAGCGGGGTTCATTTGAAAAATTTCAATAAATGATTGATAATTATGTACTAAATGTTATGTTGGTTTTGTAAAAAACAATAATAAAAATATAATAATAAAAAACAATAACCTCTGAGGTGAATGCTTGCAATTGTAGGGCATCTAGAATGCTCAATACACATTATTTAGGACGGATGCTCGAAACACCGGGTGCATTGGAGCTCATCTTTAAATCATTTAAAAACTTATCATATCTTACAGGATATCACTGGTCTCAGGGCCCACTTTTTACTGCCATATTGAGAGGTGTTTTATTAGCTAGAATGTAATGTGAAAATTTTACATGTGCAATATAAAATGTTTTTGTATGTACTCACAGCATATACCGTTTTAAATGCCACTGATATACAGTGAAAATGTTGTTCTGCATCCTTAAACTTAAGAAAAATGTTGTGTATCTAATGGAAAAAAGCCATCAAAAGTGGGAAGTGCTATTAGTAAGCAAACATAATTTATTGCAGTTTCTTACCTTGCTAATGAGCTTGTAGTATGGGTGGTCTTCTCCCATTGGTGGTGGAGGAATATCAAAGGATCGCCTCCAGATCTTCACCTGTTCCTCTCCATGCTTTGCGGCTGTTTCTGCTTTGTTGAGTCCTGTCAGGCCCCCATAATGACGTTCATTAAGCCTCCAGGATCTGTACACTGGCAAGAACATCTGGTCTGTGCCTTCCAGTATATACCACAGGGTGCGCACTGCCCTCTTCAGAACTGATGTGTGGCACACATCAAACTCCATTTTTGCTTCTTTAATTGCCTCTGCTCCCTTTATAGCCTCATCTCTTCCCTTCTCACTCAAGTCGGCGTCGAACCAGCCACAGAAGCGGTTCTCTTGGTTCCAGGAGCTTTCTCCATGTCTTACAATTACCAGACGGTGAGGCATGGTAGCTGTTAAGCTTAAATGTATAACTAATTTATGGATGAATAACCTGCGTACAGCTTTTTTCACAAGGGGCTAATATCCACTAAATGTACTCTGTGGCTTGAATGTGGGGAACAAACCTGTGGAGTAGTCAGCTAGATGTCCTGGTCCCTGAAATGGCCCCTTGTCACACTTAGTATATCAGTCTTATATACCCGGAGGAACACTATCCCAGTATCCAATCAAGCTGCAGCAACAGGTGTCCAATGGCAGCAGTAGAAAGGGGGGAGAGAGGACCTAAAAAAATAGCTTTACCCTTACACTGACAGCTGAGGCTGACCTTTAACAGGACAACTGCAGAGATACCAACTAAAGGTCACTCTACCTTTATGCTGCAAAAAGCATGCAAGTAATCACATTCATTCTTGTCCTTAATCTAGTTTTACAGGGTAAATCGGATCGAATGCTATGGGCAATTGCTCTACTTCTTTTTGCACTCCTATCTATAAATCAGACCCACAATATTAACAATATAAATTACTGAAGGATTTGTAAGAGTAGACTTCTTTTTTTTTAAAGTTCTGATGTTTTCCTGATTTGCCTGCTCGACTGTTTACCTTAAAAAGCTTGTCATAAGATAGAGGCCACCATTGCTAAGCTTTCCTTCTTAAAATATAAGTAACCTGGCTGCCATACTACATCTGAATGTTTGCTTTAAATCACGCACCCAGAACAACAGTTGTCCTTAGGAAAGATTCATAAAATAAATATAACAAAACTAGCTTCTTCGATAAGAGGTCAGCAATGGCAGCACCCTTGTATCTCCTTAATGACAGGTTTAAATTCCAGGTTTCAAATCAGAAGCTAGTGCAAGTAATAATCAAGTTTGTGTGCACTTGGATTGGGAAGGATTCACTGCTCAATTTGAGTGCATTTCTTATAAAGACAGCTTATCACAGAAACATGACATTGTGACAGACAGGCTTCATTTCCTGTTACAGTCCCAACATTTCATGGAAGAATATATTTATTTTCATAAGGCTCATCCTGCTGGGAAAAAAAAACACAGATAAAAGTAAACTGGTTTTACAAACGTATTACAGTTTTGTCTCCCTTATCAATGATAGCATCAACCAACCCACTTCCTGTGAGCACAGGCTGTCATTAGTCCACCACTAAGGACACATAGACACGTAACTGTTATAGTTTTTAAATTACACACAAAGTACTTCCAGTGGCTTTTATTACATTTTAAATTCCAATTGCATAGTAGCAGGGGTTGAAGTGACCAAAAAAGTATTTGCTGGATCCTGGTATTGAGTCAGTAACTCATAGGGGAAGGGAGTTTTTTATGTCACCTACATACCTTCCATTGGCAGTAAGGTTTGTTGCCCTGTCCCAGATTACCTTGTTTTAGGCATGTAGGTAGGAAACAGTATTAAAACACACAGTCACAATTAGAAAATACATTCTCATGTCCTTAATTGAATGAATACTTATCTTGCATGTTACCATATTGTTTAAAAAATGTGCCCCGGTAGTTCTCTCCTGTGCATGATGCCAAAAGAGGAAAAAAAGCTCCCATCTTCCTCAACGGGGCTAAAGCTAAACAGAAGTGTAAATCGGCCCAATTCTTGCTTGATGAATCATCCTATAATATAGATATTAGGGATGAGGGTAAGGATTGAACTGAAACTTGGCTGTTGAGGTGTTCAGAAGAAAGCCCAAACATTTACCCATTCAATGGGAGCTGAACATCACCTATAATAACAGTATTACTACCGCCAATATACATGACAGCTTCCCGTCATGTGCTTAACAATGATATCACCAACGTCACTTACTTACATGGCTGTAGGGTTTCTGATGTGAGGTCCTTCCCCAATTCTATACCAGACTCCTAGGGTCTGGTATGGATTTTAACAGGGAATCCCAAGCAAAAAAAATCAAGAAAAAAAAATCATAGGTTCTCCCCAATAATCCACACCAGACCCTTATCTGAGCATGCAGCTTGCCAGGCCAGAAAAGTGGGGCAGGGATAAACCTCCTAAACCATACCAGGCCCTCAACATATGGGGAATACCTTAATAGGGGGTCCCATGGTGATGAGGACAAAGACTTCATTCCCAAAACTCTGGCCTCATGGTTGTCTGGGGGGGGCTTTAATAATAAAGGGGGACTCAAATACCACCCACTCCTCTCATTCACAAAAAAAGTAAGTGTGTGAATAAACACACAGACAGTTTTTGACAAGTCCTTTAATTTAATTTTTAAAAAATCTGATAATGTACTTCCATCGTCAACCATGTTGATGACCATAAGATTGCTGTTTATGCGGATGATATTCTGATGTATCTCTCGTCTCCACTTGTTTCTCTCCCCACTCCAAAGTCAGTGGCTATGAACGTTTCCCTTCTCCAACCGCTTGTGACACACCTTCAATCCCAATTTCCGTTTCAATGGACCTCCTTTCTTCCTTATTTGGGAGTTAAACTTACACCTTCTTATGATTGTTGTATCAGGCAAATATTCCTCCTCTGCTTTCCCAGCTAACCCAGTTGCTCTCTTCTTGGCAGTCCATGTCCCTATCTTGGTTTGGTAGGGCTCAAGCGATTAAAATGACTTACCTTCCCAAGCTACTTTATCCTTTTTGAGTGCTTCCTGTTCGGATTCCACCCCATGTACTCTGTATTTTACAGCGCCAAATTTTTACGGTTTGTATGTCCATGTTTGTCTAAACAGTTGCTTTACCACCCGCGTATTCGGGGTGGTCTTGGTCTCCCGAACGTTCATCCTTACTATATTATGGCCCAAGTTACTCCTCTTATTCAGCGTTTTTCTGTCAAGGACTTACCCTTGTGGGTTTTGATAGATACTTTGGACACACATCTCCTTTTGACTTCAGCCTTGCCCTGGCTTCCTCCGTCCTTGTGGCCTAAACTGTTGAATCCTGTCCTGGCTTATTCTTTGAAAATTTGGGACTCATGTAAGTATTCAGCGGGTCTACTTTCCCCGCATTTACCTCTTTTACAATTATTTGACTGCTTTTTCCCTCAGGGGACTCCGATAAGATGGGCTTTCGTTGGTGGATAACTCATGATTTTACAATGGTTCACTCGTTAATCACGGGTCAGGATATGCGTACGTTTGCACAGCTTCGAGAGAGTCATCTCGTTTGTTTGTATTAGACCAATTGCCTGTCATTTGTTATTGTTATCTAACAAATCTGTGATTCTCAGAGACAATATTGCCTTAAGAGGACGAGGCTCTCTGTGTTTTTTTTATTGCTGCCTTTCTTGAATGTAGCTTTTATATTTCTGAATGTCATTGTGGGCCTCGTGGCCCTCTGTCTCACACAGTGTTATCTAGACCCTGGTGTGGGTCTTATATGTGTATTTCTGTATTTTTTGTATGATGTTTCCCTATTCTCTGTTGTCGTTCTGTATCATATGATTTGTCATGAATTGTATGTTTCTTTCAACATGCTTAATAAAATCTTTGGTAAAAGAAAATTTGTGCCAGACCTGAAGGGCCTGGTATGAACTGGAGGAAACCTTATTTTTTTTCTTTTTGTAAGGGACCTTGATTAACATAAGATAATCCCTGGCTGCTCTGTTTACTAGAATAACTAAATGGCATGGAACTTTCATTCTGCTAGTAATTTACTTTTAAATGTGTTTTATTAGTATTTTCAAAAAATAACATCTTAATAGACATACAAAAACAAGCCAACACCGTGGCCAATCATAACATAGACAGGTCTCAATAAGCCAAACATTATGGAAAAGGTGTAAAAGTAAAATAACAACGTTTACAAAATCTGTCAACAAGGGGGGGGGGGGGGTGTGAAGGTTTCTACCAAAATGAGAAGTGTGTCAAAGAGCATATACATTTCTTTATGGTGAGAGCAGAGACGACCCAAACCAGGGTAGCTTGCCCCCGCTAAACATGAAGTAAAAGAGCTTGACTACGAGACCTAAATTCTGCTAGCAATTTAAGCATGTTTTCTTTGTAAATGTCAATTTGGCTGTAGTAGGTTGTATACATGGTCAGGGGAGTATTTACCACAAGGCAAACAAGACATATGCCTAGGGCGGCATTTTTCAGGGGGGCAGCACTGGTGGGATCTGAGAGAGGCTGCACACTGCTTGATGGTGTATGCAGAGCTAGACTCTTGTACCCAGGGATGTCCGGAGCTGTGAAGGTGAGTGTCCTGCTCTCTCTCTCCGGGAAGAGGAGGGGGTTGTATGTTAGTGGAAGGCTCTCTCAGGTGGGTGGGGGGGGCAGGGGTGTCAATATCAGGCTCCCTCCATGGGGGGGAAGAGAGTTGTGGTGTTAGTTGGTGTCAGGCTCACGGGGGGGGGGGGGCTACGATTTTTTTAAGCATTACTGAAATCGCTTCTCTCTGTTAATTTGTTAATTTATTTTTTGGTACATGTTCTTCAGGACAGTGCCAAACACCCCACATCATTTGCTTAACAATCCCTTGCCTGTTAGCCTTAAAAATGTCCATTACTATTTTTAAACATTTAGCTCCCATTGTGTCAGGGACATGTTGGCCATGGCATAGCTGAGGCTTGTAGCTGCACAGGCGCGGGCCTGCAGGTGCTCGTACTGTTGTGTGTGGGCATGCACATATGTGCATGCACGGGCGTGCGTGCACAGAAATGCGCATTGGCTAATTCTGGTGCCTATTGGCCTATGTAGGTGCAGCAGCTGCACTAGTAAATTGCTGTCTGATCTGCAGCTCTCCCTGTGTTCCTGTGTTCATTTCTGTATTGAAACCCCTAATTGACCTGGCTTATCCTGACCTTGCTTGAATTCTACCTGCACTGACCTTGGCTTGCTTGGATTCTGTCTCTGTGTACGGTATCTGCCTGATCTGCCTTTCTGCTGCTGACATTGGCCTGTGGCCTGACCCTTCTTCTGCCTGCCGTTTATGCTTACCTGCCCGCCTGTTACCGACCCAGCCCGTCTGACCCTGCATCCAGCTTCGCCTGCTACCAGCCTGCTCCGCTGTG